TTTATTTAATTCTTAATATTAATTATAAATAACTTCCTTTTTTTTTTTTTTTTTATAAGTTAAAATTACTTTTATTAATAGCCTTTATAAGCTAGGCAGTTAAAAAGTATATTTTAATAAATATAATTAATATACTTTTATAAGTAAATTTATTATACTTTAATATCTTTAATATCTTTTTCTTTCCTTATATAATATCCCTTCCTTATATAACTTTTAGTCTTATATCTATTAAAAATAATATTATAAATAGCCTCTTTTTAAGCTTTAAGTATATTATAAGGCTTTTAATAAGGCTATTATATTCTTTTTTATAAATAAAGCTATTTATAAATATAACTTTAAGAAAGAAAGATTAAAGTAATACCTATTAAAGATTATAATATAATTAATATTAATATATTATATAAGACTTTATATAAATATTATAATTAATATAATTTATTTTATTATTATATTAAATAATAATAATAAAAATAAGAATTATCTTAAAGCTAATATTATTAAAGACTTATTATAGGTATTATATTTCTGCCTTTATACCTTATTTACTAGGCTTTTTTTATCTTTTTTAATATATATTTATAAGGGGCTTTACTAAATATAGTTAAAAGAAAGAGTATAATATTACTATCTTTTTAAGTAAATTATAATACTTTATATATTTTTAAGAGGAATTTTAATTTATAGCTTGCTCTTTTTATTATATAGTATTAATATAAGTAACTTAATTATAATAGCCTTATATAATAATACCTTTATATATTAAAGTTATTATAAGAAGTAGCCCTAATATATAATAACCTACACTTTAAACCTTAATAATATAAGTATATTTTTAATAATTATTATTTCTTTTAATTTACTTATAAAAAGAATTATATACTTATTTATACTTAAATTAATCCTTTGAAAATAAAGCTAAATAAATATCCTTTATATATAATTAAATTACTTTTTAATTACTTAGAAAGTCTTTAGAAAATTACTTTTATTTCTTATATTAAGCTTAATATAATTAAAAGTATAGGAATACCTTATAATTAACTTAAACTTTTATAATAATGTAAACTTAATAATTAAGTAAAGAAGGCATTAATTTCCTAAGCTAGGGGCTTTTTAATAATCTTTTATTAATATTTTCTTATAAGTTCTTAGTAAATAAGGACCTTAAGATATATATAGGCTATTATAATAAAAATGCTTTTTTACTTAAGAATATATAATTATTTAAAAAGAAATATATTTTAATTATTAATAATAGTATTTTTAAGTAAATAAATAACCTAGCTATTAATATATTTAATTTATAATTATATAAGGGAAATAAATATAAAAAGCTAAAATAATTTAAGTAATTCTTAAGGTAAAAGGTTAATTTTAAAATTATAATACTTTAGCTTAAAAGGTTAAAAATTATTATTATAGCCTTTTTTAAGTAGAAAATTAAATATATTAATAGGGTTATTAGCTGCCCTTAAAGGCAGGCTATTAAAGCTATAATTATCTATATTATCTTATATCTTTTAAAAGCTTATTATTTTAATTAAAACTTATTAGGGTTAATTTATATAAGGATTTTAATAATTATAAGTATATTAAATAAAGAAGCTATCTAATAAGAACTTTATATACCCTGCAGGTACTAGCGTTGTTAGTAAGCAAAGTGGGGCCAGTGACCTGATTGCAGTCTTGTGCCGCTTAAAGAGATAGTCAAAAAAACCTAATTGCGTTGCTTGTCAGGGCCACTGGGTTAGGCGGCCAAGGTTAAGAGCCTTAAGGAAGCCTTTGGCGCCGGTCAGCAATACTAAGAAGAGGCCTTAATTAAAGAAGAAGCATTAATCAGTTTGTGGGTGTGAGCAGTGTGATGTCACGATTTGTAACTCGAAATATTGTTGGGTCATCTATCATGGGCTAATTTAGGTAGGGAATAATGTACCCTTCATTCTCGCATTTTAATTGGGCAGACATGCTGGAGTGACCTGGCGGGGGCGTTTCGACAATTGAGGGATAAAGATGTAAATGGAACTTAGAGCGGGGAAGCAACTCAACCAAGAAGATATACATATCCAATAAGATACATCAGTGAATCAGGGCTCGTGATATCGCCGTCACCTGCCGGAGATTTACACTGAAAACCTTCACGGTGTCTTTTAATGCTGGATACTCGGCGTCTAGGAGAAGGGGGCAGTGTCTATTCGCGCTGGGGTGTGTGTGGGTGGGGGAGTCGCAACTGACTTTGGCCATCGCTGTCATGTTGGCCGACTAAGATTATGATGGCGTTTTGTTGAGAGGGATCCTAGAATATCTGAGGGATGGTTGCGCGTCTCGAGCTGAATAAATATGTATCAGAGGTCTAGAACTGATGCCAGGGGCATCGGCTATGTCGGTGAGCGGCCTGCGCCACTATAATTATAGGTAGAAGGCGTTATCTCTTTAAGTGGCACAAAACTACAGCAGGGTCACGACAGGGGTGTAGGACCTATTAAAATAAGTACTACTTAAACTATATTTAAATATACCTAATTTTATATATAATAAAAGTACTAGTAGTTAGCTAAGTTATAAATAGCTATATTATAAACTTTATAATTATATTAAGTTTATTTTTTTTTCTTTACTTTTAGCCTTATATAAGGTTATTAAGCTTTTTAGCTTTTCTATTAATAGTTTAAATAGTAAAACCCCTATAGCAGGCTAATATTATAAAAGTTAGAATTAAATAAGGTTTATCTGCCTTAATAATGTAATTACTGCCTTAATAATGTAATTACTGCCTTAATTAAGTAGTATTAATACTAGTTATATCTTAATAGCTAGATTAACTTTCTTTCTTTAATATATTTAAATGACTATACCTTAATTAACTTTTATAATATATTATATCTAATTTATTTATTATACTTAAATATATTATCTAATTTAACTTTCCCTTTTAATTCTTTTTATTAATAATATAATAATTATATTACCTTAATATTTATATAAAATAGCTTATAGCTATATAATTATATCTATTATATAATTAATTATAATTTTAATTTAGTTATTAGGCCTGCCTTAAAGGTAATTAATAAAAAAAAACTTTATATAATATATATAATAATTATTAATATTATAAAAAACTTTTTATTAAAAAGTAAATTTAATTTTATTAAAGTAATTATTTTTAATTATAATTTAATTTAATTAATTAATTATATTAAAAAAATATTATATTAATTTAATTAATTTAAATTAAGTTAATAATAAGCTATTAAGTCTTAAAGACTTAAAAATAGCTATAAAGGAAGGTTATCTTCTTTAGTTAAATAAAGTAGCTTTCCTTACTGCCTTTATAAGCCTAGCTATATATAAAGAGTAGCTCCTTAGTATATCTGCAAGGGCAGCTGACGTTACTGGAGAGCTGCTCTTGAATTAGTAACAGCCTGGCTATGGTCTTGGACTATAAGAGCATAGGGACAGGGAGTCTGCATATAGAGTTAGATAAACGCGGGGTAAAGGCGGGGTTTAGAAATTCTATTAAAGTCAAAATGTACTAAAGGAATTATATTAAGTTTACTTTATATAAGTTAGTTAGCAAAAGTCAAATTAACCTAAAGTTATAACTTAATTAATTAAATATATATAGTAAGGTATATAACTAATTAACCTTATATATAAGAATAGATAAAGTAAAATTAGTAAAAAAGTAATAATTTAAACTAGAGATATTAAGTTTATATCTTTTATTTATTTTTTAATATTAATTATAAATAAAAAATGTTTTTTAATATATTAAAGCTATTTTTAGTAATAGTTTTTATAAGCTAAGTAATTAAAAGGTATATTCTAATAAATTATAATTATCTCTATATAGGTAAATATATTATATTTTAATATTTTTAATATCTTTTTCTTTTTATATAATATTTCTTTTTTATATAATTTTTAATTTTATATTTATTAAAAGTAATATTATAAATAGCCTCTTTTTAAGTTTTAAGTATATTATAAGGCTTTTAATATAGCTATTATATTTTCTTTTATAAATTAAAGGTATTTATAAATATAACTTTAAGAAAAAAAGACTAAAGTAATAATTATAAAAGATTATAATAAAATTAATATTTATATATTATATAAGATTATATTTAATTATTATAATTAATATAATTTAATTTATTATTATATTAAGTAGTAATAATAAAAATAAAGATTATTTTATAACTATTTTTATTAAAGATCTATTATAAGTCTTATACCTCTGCTTTTATACTTCTTTTAATAGGTAATATTCTTTTTTTAATATATATTTATAAGAAGCTTTATAAAAAAAAAAAGAATATATATATATTATTTTTTTTTAAGTATTTTAAATAATTAAAAAAAAAGATAAAAAAATATATTAATTAAGGCCTCCTATTTATATTAATAATATATTAATTTTATAGCTAATTTACTTATTTAGTTATATAGTATATTTTATAACTTATTTAATCCTCTTTTTATTATTAATATAAAATTTATAACTTTAAGTCTTTAACTTTAAGTAACCTAAACTTATATAAAACTTTATATGTTTTTCCTTTAAACCTTATAAGTACTTTATTTTTATTTATATTATAATATAATATCTCCTTATTTTAATTATATATTTATAATTTAAGATTATAACTTACTTAATCTTTATAAGTTATTAGTCTTTTTTAAAACCTCTTTAGCCTCTTATTAAATATCCTTAACCTACTTATTATATAAGCTGCCTAAGTTAAAGGCCCATAACCCTTTATTGGTTTAAGCTATGTCAATGCCGCGATTTTGCTGCTTCATGGATCGATTAGCTTGAATTGGTTGTGTGACCGATCCTGACTAGACTCTTCCTTGTCTAACTGTCCCACGTAACCTTGCTCTATAAGTGGTCAGACTAAACCTGTATTGTGTAGTAATTCGACTTGAGAGGGATTGTGCTGATGGTTAAACCTTTGACATTTTAGCATATAAACCGAGCCATATTTAAGCTTAAACATTTAAGTGTAATTATTCCTTAACCTGTTAAATCTCTATTCAGCAAGCAGTTTACATAAATCTCCTACTAATAACATGCTATAACATCTATACTACTCTAATAAGGCTGTCATATCCTTGACTAACCCCAACGACTGAAGACGTGAAAACCTCTTGAAGTTCCCTAATCACCCTGCGATTAGCACCCAACGTTCTTGTCCGTCCATCTCAAGCCCGTGCGAGTTACTCATATGCCTTTTGAAGTTATCCTTCCTGCTGTTCGAGATAGCCTTTCGGCAGATAGATCAATGTAAAGCTTTGCCAGAGATACCCAAAGCCGCCGCAAGAGAGCGGTGATAAACTCGAACATGCTTTTTCATATCCTCTTATTCCGCTCCTTTTTCTGGGCAAACTGGACAGATAACCGGCGTATAGTGATTGCGAGCGTGTTTCCTATATTGTCAACTTCCGCTCGTGGGGGACGGAATAGTTTGACTCGCGTCACACGACTTGGTAGTTTGTAAGTTTTGCGGGGAGTCTTACATTCTGGATACTTACAAAAGTATCCTGTAAGTTTACTGCCACGGGCATAATGGTGATTTGGAGGCAGTTTATCTTCCTGGAAGAGCTGAGGAGTTCGTCGCCGCTCTTCGTTGCTCCTACCCGACGCTCTGTTGACCGAATTGACCATGGCCATGCTGTGTTCATTTGGCGGGGTCTAATCATAAGATCCAATGCCAGATAAATCTGGGCTGTTTGGAACAGCGGTTGGAGACTAATGCTCGTCGTTTTGATCAGAAGCATCGGTACGGTTGGGTAGAGCAGCTGCATCAACTGTTGGATGGGGCTCAAGTTCGCGCAACGATACATATTGGGCCAGTTCTCCCCCGGCAATAGTTGAGCGATCTTCCATCTTTCTCTTTTGTAATACTCACTAACGAGCATTTCATGGACGTAGCGAGAACCAACTGAGGGAATATATTCTGTCAGCCTGCACCAAACCATTGGTTCAACAAATGTAGTACTGAAGCGGATGTAGACATAGTACTATATACTTGTAAACTTACAAGGTCTCTTCCTAGAAATCTTTTTACTGTAGGAAATTTAGGTAAATAAAATTTTATAAGTAAAAAGTAAAATAGTTGGACGAGTGGACTTTTAGCCCCAGACTCGTATTGGTCTCATCCTGCAGACTCAAATTGTGCTAATGCTTAACAAGGTCAATTTGATTGGGCTGTTGCAAGTGCGACAGGATATCGATGATACAATCTTGTTTGCGACTTCAGCTACAAGGTATCAACGCAAGATCCCATTGGTCATTACGCAAGAGGCATACCAATTTAGCTATGGGCATGACGTGGTTACAACCAACAGTTCGCTCGTCGCCCAATCAGCAATGGACTTTCAAGCCGCAATATGTCTGAGGCCTGCCACGCTGCTGGGCGCGAAATCCCTGATGCTTCTTTTGAAATGGCATGGCTTATCTCTACGCATTTCATGAACGGACTACAACACGATCGGTAAATATCATTACACGTTAGCTCTCAATAGGCATCAACCCTCTGCCTTGACTACTTGCATTAAGTAACACTTGCCCAACTTATAGAATAAGGTATTTGCGAATATGGGTGAGTATTTAGCAAAGCTATTATCGCATTGCGTTGGCTTATTATTAGAATCGAAAGGAATTCAGCGACCGCTTCTGGTCGCTCCAGAGCGGGCGTTAGTGAAACGTTTCTATCCTCCCCCTTTGTTATTAATCGGCTTGACATCCATATGTCCACGACGAAGACTAGGAGAGGACCCGGAATTCGATGCTTTGACAGGCCTGGAGCCACTTTTACGAGCATTTGTCTCCAAAATTGCATTCCTTTGTTGCACCGAGGTTGGTAGCGGAGCAATCTCGGCTTGTGCTGTGTTACACCTGCCCGATTGTATCCAGTATGTGATTGGTTTCAACCAGCAAAGTTCAACGAGACGTGAAAAGGTCCAAGCTAGCATAGCTTCTATTCTGCATCTATTCTCTGCAATTCCGCCAGAACATAGTGCGGAACGAGAAAACCTTCGGATCCAGGCCCTATACGCATCGCTTGAGTTGTGCAAAAATCGGGTGAATGGATACTTGAAATCGCTCAAAGTCCATCTGCAAGTGTGAATCGAAGCCTGTGAGCGTGAAAGCACACAGGAAAGTAGTTTCTGTATATTCGGTTTCCAGTTTGCACATGGAGCTGACAAGAGTTAGGTGAATCGACTCAAAATGAAATGTCCCAAGTCCTACGCCTTTTAGAAGCCTGTTTTGACACATGTCACTCTGAACCAGGTGGGTGTTTGAATCGTTTTACCCAGAGTGAATTGCCCATCTAATGATCATTCATTCAAGTAAATCGCTTTATCGTATGTGACTTGGTTACTTCTTTAAACAACTTTTTCAAGTCCCATATCTTTGTCGATGTCAGGCGTCGCTTGGCGCGTGAAGATAACATGATGTCAACGACATACTGGTCAGACTTTGTTCATGTCGCGGGTCGACTGCTTACCTATAAGCGTGCAGTGGACTTGATGGATTTAGTCGCAAAGATCTGGCCTCAGCTCTTTTCAGACATTCAAATCTGCATGATACCATCAAGTTCAACAGTGTCTGATGATTCTTTCAAGAGCCAGTCTGGCGTTCTTCGTATAAAGCCTTGGACAGCTGCTCAGATCATGAGCAAAATGTCTAGCGATGAGTCGTTATTGGGTCGTTTTGCAGCAAAGCTAGGCTCGCTTTCTGTCCACGATATAGACGCCAAGGTCTCTGAACTTTGGCGTAGTGCACCTAAACCAACGGTGCATGCGGAAGTGCTGGTGCATGATTGGCTAGAAAACACCGAGGGTGGAATCCGTCCTGAACGGTTTTTCAATCGTTGGAAATTCATCGGATCAAGCAAACCACCCTGCAAACTGTGCTCTTACTTTTTCGATGAATATCCAACTGATGTTCAAGTCCGGCCCTCTCATCAAAATGCGTATTTTGCCTGGCGGATGCCTGATATGTATGGGTACCAAGGCGAGGAATCAAGCCGTAAACGAATGCTCGTAATGGATAGTATCAAGACTCGAATCAGAGCAGACGTTGTGCGAATGCTGTCTGAGAAGCTAGCTGATGGGCGATCTAATGATTCAAGTGCATATACATCCTTGTGTCGTGGCATAGCGCCAGGTCCTCCCAACAATCCTATCTCACTAGAAGCGACTGCTCAGTTGCTCGAATCTTGCACGCTTTCGACAACGCACGAACAAGGTGCCACTGATCGAGAGTCGGCCAAGGAAGTGGTAAGAGTGCTGGATGAGAACCATGAAGAGGAATTACTTTTCAAAGGTAGATCAGCTGTCCGAAAGACTGTACAGAACCGACTGGGAGAACAATAGCCAATTAGTTTAAGTACCCCGATAATAAGATTTGAATCTGCATAATCTTAGTAATCTGAATCTTTATTCATTGCTAATATTAGCCGTTATCTAGACTGCTCATCGTAACCGAAACACAATCCCTTGTTCACACTATCCCACCTCTTAATCTTAGCATATTTCGGGCTGTTACTCAACAAGGAGCAGGCTGGCCGCTTTAACCACATGAAGCCCACAGTTCCAAGCTGCTAGTCATGTTCGCAGTTCTGGTAAGCAGATTGTATCAATGCCGAGAGTGGTACTGGTCTCGAGATGGTCAGTGGTACGCCAGAGTAGCATAGCTGTATAATAGGAGAGCATACTCCAAGAAGAGTACACATCCAATCCACATAAGTGCCGCTAACCCGTTTATAGAACTGTAAGCTGGATAATAAGACATAGACTGCCTTTGTATACCCATTACAGCAGTATAGTAAATAATACAGACGACAACATGTCTCCAGCGGGGTCTTAATGTATCTAGAACATTATCGAGAGCTGGAATAAAGATTCTAATAGCTCCAGCCAAGGCCTAAATAGGAAGAGGAATTCGGACTGATATTGTGAACCAATCTCCACTCCCAGGTTCATGTCTCCTTCGAAATCTATCTCCACATCACTCTCATCACTGCTTGCGTGACTTGATTCATCGTCCTCAACAGGGTGCATGTGGGAACAGCCTTGCTCACGACTCGGTAGTTGTCTCGCGAGAGATAGGATGTAATGCGTTTAAACCAATGAGAGGCGGCAAGTTTCTTCTTTTACTGACAATAAGAGGGACAATAGGAATGTATAGTATTTGTCTAGACATTAGATCCCCTTGCTTTTAAATCTCTTTTAGATCGCCAAGGTATCCAGACAAAGCTTTTCCATTATCGATGGCAGCCACCTTAAAGGCACGCATCGCATTATGGTGCCGTCGGATATGCCGGGCGATATTGGTCTGCGGTACAACGCCACACTGTTTGCAAACAATGATACGCCAAGAAGGATCGTAGTAAAAGAGATCTTCAAGTCCCATAGTGAAAGTCGTTTATAGTTCACTAGGCTTTTGATGGCACGAGCTTTTAAAGATCATTAGAGGAAACCTCGAATTGAAATTACAGCAAAGAGAGTAGATAATATAAGAAAGCTGAAATACACGTTTACGTGTGTTTACATGCGTAAGTAATGCGCCTGCAGACTGTCGATCGAAATGAGAAAAACATAAGTCACCATAGTATGGTCATATGGGAATAGACGGGACATAAACAGACACGTGAGAAATAAACAGGGGTATGCGACAATTAGGAATAGAAGAGTAGGGAATCTTGAAGTCGTGTGTGGTGTTGAACGGGGCAGGGCGTTGGGGGAAGTGACTCGTAGTCAGGCAGGCACGGCGGCGAGGAGGGCATCTCGACTTCAGAAAATGAAAACTCTAAGAAAAAATCTACCTACATAGGTTATTAATTATGAATTGATAACCGACTGCTTGTGAGAGCCTTTATATCAAGTCCTTCGAACTTTTATATGCCGAAATTCCATCCTTTCTACTAATTATTTGTTATTCATTATTAAATAGTAAGGAGTCGTTAGATACGGAGCCATATAAGTTGCAAAGAGACGCCTGATTATTCAACCACTGCGCTTTCCCAGCAACAATGTAGCCTCAGCCGAAGCAGACTGGCTAGATTAGTAGAGCCGTCAGATTGTACAGCTCCATCGTCCAAGTCGCGAAGAATGCTGTCAATGTAATTTTCGGCGGCACTTAGATGCAAAATCTGGCAAATAGCGTTGTGAACAGCAAGAAGCCGAGCGGACGGGGGATCGATGGTTCGCTCGGGAGTGAGAAAGAAAGAACTAAATCCCGCCGCATTATCAACTTTTCGTGCGTGCCAACCCAGGCAAACCCAGATTTGCCTGGCGTTTTGCCGCAAAAAGCCACCTCTAGCTTCTACACTTTTTATCCTTGCACATTTGATACAGTAACCAGGTTCGACAAAAATATGCAAGAAGACGTCAGGTAGTTGCTGCAGTGTGTGAACGAGAGAGAACACAGAGATTAGTTTCAATTGATTCAGCGGTTTGCTGTGTTTTTATGGTGGTTTTGATTTTTGAAGGCTGAAATCTTTGTCACGCATGCTTATTTGTCACGTAAGTATGTCGTGTATGTTATGCCTAATATAATTTTGGTCCATAAAGTAGTAGCCAACAGCTATGCCAACAGTATATCAAACCGAATACGGGATGATTTCGATGAGGTATCCGTCCGGATCTTCAATGAACGGCACAGGTACAGCAGCCTCCCACAAGGACTTATCAAATCCTTTGTCCGGAGTCTCACAGCCAAGAAATGTGGATATCACCTCAAAACCTCTGGAATCTCCTGTTTCTTTGAGGATTCTGACGCCTTGTTTCCTGATATGTTCCATAGCTGACTCCATATCCGGGACACCAAATGCCAGTTTAATGATACGGGAATCGTGGTTATTAGGTAGGGTTGAAGATATTTTGTCTGCGTTCTAGTGTTTAGGTTAGTTACTGTGAACCAATCTACGGAATCCACTTGCCGATGGGCACACTAGCTCTAGCACGCCTTCTCGGCCGAATAGGGGTGCCTCGGAAGCCACGGAATCCGAGTACCCCATGAATACAATAGTGACAGTATCTAACAGCATACGGCCCAATTCTTTCATACCGAAAACCCCCGAGTAGAACTCGACTGAACGGTCAATATCTGTGACTCTGAGGCCAGTGTGGGTGAATCTGAATCCTCTTGTGGCGTTCTGAGATGCCATTATTGCAAAATCGGAAAAGCAGTAGATTGGCTATTAAAAGTGAATTTGCTAATTTAACACGATAATCTTGGCGTTTGTATATCTCGCTGTGATTATTGCTATTTGTCATCTGATTATAAATCGACTCTTTACTATTATAAATCTAAGGGGCGGTATAAAACCGTTTTTGCCAGCTCACCCTAACAAGTTGACATTATACCCGAGACTACCGAGTACTGTTTATCCCCAAGACTACGATCGTGAAAGATGGGGAGCAAAAATATCCACACGTTGCACAGATTGGAGGAACAGCCTCCGCTTTTTCGCTCGTGTTGGCCCTTTCAACTCCATCGCTACACTCTTGACCAATAATCCCATTGCGACATAAGTACTGGCGGCGAAGACCGCACCTCGACTGTGTCTTCGTACAGGGAACATGCTCGATATGTGTATCAGGCTACTGGCAGGCGCATCACCAACACACTCCTCTTCGGTAATCCCGGGGCAGTTTCCGAAGCCGTTCAACCTCACGCAGCTTTAAAAATGCAGCCGCTGATAACCAATCTGACATATTGATGGGCGTGGATCGATTAGCCTCGTATTCAAAACCAACTGAATATGCACAGGGCTTTCCGACTCGCAAAAAGCTTAAAATTACAATAGCTTTTCCTCTTCTAGGTTCTTAAGCGGCCCCTGCTAGCTTAGTGACTTGAGCTCTGAAAATGGCAGTCGGAACGAGAATATGATTGGGTTGTGAAAGGTTATGCAAAGTTGTTGTCAACTTCGCCGATTCTTCTACTTTTATGGCGTTGCCCATCATGGGCTAAGGCCTGCCTTATTGATATCGCAAAGCCGACAGAGTTCATTTCGAATATAAGGCTTGCGTCGGAAAAAGGTGATAGGTAGGATTAGAATGCGGAGACATCATATAATTACCGTGATTAAATAGCTTGTGCGCCAGAGCACATATTTAACGCTATGGTTCGTCCTTATACCTGCGGATGGACAAAGGCTTCAAATATATGTTTATCTAAGGTACTTAGACTTAACTCTATCGTATGCTGAGACGAAGCATCTTCTCGACAGGCCGGAAGCATACGGGGCACGCTGCCGTACAATTATCATCAATTGAGCAATCTCGCATATCAATTGGGCAACAGATAGCACTGATGAGTATCGCTAAAATTGGGCCTCAAAACCTAATCCTGGGAAGGCGTAAGGCAAGCACCTGCTTGCTTGATTACATTGGTCAAATCATATGAAGCTCCCGCTCAATTGGATGGTCAGGAAAAGGCTTATCCACATGAATTGTGTGTGTTACCATTTGAGTTCGGATTTTGGATTCCGATCTCGGGAATTCCCTGCCTTACAAGTTACACCCACGGAAGGAAGACAAGGATTCTCGAGAACCTGGTGTCCCAGAGCAAATTCAAGTTTCACGCTAACGAAACCTGCGTCTGGCAGGGTCTCAAGGCTATTAGTGAGTCATCTTTGCGGCTATTGCAGGCTTCTTACTAGAATCTTCACAATCTTGGTGCAAATAGTACCTACATAGGAGTAGAGTTGCAATTTCGCGACTCATTATGACTTATAAGGAATTTATATTTTTTCTCTATTAGTATTCTCAGTAATCTATTTTAATATGAAATAAGTAAACTATTAACCAGGTGTGCTAATTTTATATAGCTATTTAAAGTATGAATTGAGTCTGTGACTAATTAGTCTCAAGGCCAGGTTTACATGCAAAAAGAGAGTCGGCCGCACTCCTCACCGGCCCTTGGCTGCTTCAGTGACTGGGGTCAAGTTCCCCGTTGAGAGTTATCATGGGGGTGTGTATGTATGTCTTCGAGTATCCAGACGCAGCCAGGGATCTATGCATGACTATGGCATGGAGTTTCACTGCATTTATGCCTCTGGCTGACTCGAAGTCGAAGATATGGGTTTCTTATCTTTGCGTTGATACGGTTACCTCCGCTGCCCGAACCTACTAGAATGTAGAATGCTCTTGTCACGTTTTGCTGATGATGTCAACACTTGGCAGAGTTTGGAAGTATAAAACAGAACAAGTTCCCTACAAGTTACACTTACACGGATTCACTTTCCATTACCTTCTATCATACAGCTGACACACGTATACTTTGCTTTCTACATCACAAGTCACCATGACGGATTACAAATTTGAAGGATGGCTGGGAAAGAGTCCCGAGTCCGTTCAGGGCAAGATGGAGTGGGGTGCCTTTACGCCCAAGAAGTGGACGGAAGACGACGTCGATATTAAAGTCACCCACTGTGGTGTTTGCGGTTCTGATCTTCATACGTTGAAGTCGGGATGGGGACCAACGCAGTATCGTAAGTCTGTCCCTTAAACACTCTAGGACAAACATTCCTGGGTCCTTTGACACTAAACTAACCCATTGTAATCCTCATACAGCCTGCTGTGTTGGCCATGAAATCGTTGGCAAAGCTGTTCGAGTAGGCCAGAATGTCAAACACGTCAAACTGGGTGATCGTGTTGGTGTTGGTGCCCAAGCCCTGAGTTGCTTGAAGTCTGATTGCCCCCAATGTTCGACTGGCAGAGAGAATTATTGCCCTGGTATTATTCAGACGTATGCCATGGACTATCCTGATGGAACCGGTACAAGCTTTGGCGGATACGCCGACTACAATCGCTCACCGGGACACTTCGTCTTCAAGATTCCCGATAACCTTCCGTCCGAGGCGGCTGCTCCTATGCTATGCGCTGGAGGCACTGTCTTCTCGCCTTTGAAGCAAAATGACTGTGGTCCAGGTAAAACAGTCGGTATTGTTGGCGTTGGTGGCCTCGGTCATTTCGGTGTTCTATTTGCAAAGGCTCTTGGGGCTGATAGAGTCGTTGCAATTTCGCGCAAATCTTCCAAGAGGGATGAGGCTCTAGCTCTTGGAGCTGATAAGTACATTGCAACCGATGATGACAGTGATTGGGCTACAAAGAACAGCCGCACCCTTGACCTCATGATCAGTACAGTCTCTAGCCCGAAAATGCCCATGACTGAATATCTTTCACTACTCAAGGTGGGAGGCACTTTTGTTCAAGTTGGGTATGTGCACAGATTCAGGCCTCCAGACTTGTTGAAATATTATCTAACTATGTACAGAAATCCTGATGGAGGCCAGCTACCCGCAATCAATGCCTTTACGCTCATTTTCAACAACATCAACGTTGGCGGAAGCTGCATTGCGTCTCCCAATACAATTAGAGAAATGCTTCAGCTGGCTTCTGAAAAGAACATCAGGCCAAGTATTGAGACGCGACCTATTGAGGGTGCCAACAAGACAATTGTTGATATGGAGAATGGGTTGGCGCGATACCGCTATGTTCTTGTTAATGGGAAGAATCTATGAACCCCGATGTACATAACCTAGCTAGTAGAGATTTTAGCGAAAAAGACTAAGCCCATATTAGGCTTAGAAGAGGTATACATCTTTTAGTACCTTTACTAAGCATCGATACGGTTGTACAATATTCCGACTGTCAGATTCAAGACTTTTTCATCGTCAACCACAAATGGCAAACACATCAGATAACGCGGGACCTTGGCGACATCAAACAGACACACAGTCTGTCTCGCAGCAAGACTGCAGCAAATGCAAAACAAGGCGGATTAAATGTGATCGAGCTCTTCTGGGATGTCGAAAATGCAGCAAAAAGGGTTACCAGTGTCCAGGTTATGGCCCGCGAGTGCAGTGGGTTAACGATGCTGCTACACGAGGTCGGATGAGGGGTTTGCAGGCTACTGTTTTGGAGGACCACGCTCGGTCCCAGCCAAATGTCATCGAGGGGGTGGGACCCTTAAATTTTGTCAATGACGATGGCCAGAACAATGCAACCGATATTCAAGACCCGGCTCAGCAACACCACAGCGGCACCACAACATATGACCTTTCCCAAGACTGGTGGGACAAGTTAAGACGCTACTACATCGACAACGTCGCTCGGCTCATGGTCTGGGTCGATACTCAGAAGAACCTGTACCGAGACCGCATTATCGACATTGCCTCGGATTGGCCAGTTCTTCGCCTGGCAATCTCTGCAATAGCTGCCCTGCATTGTAACGCCACTGGACACAATGGAAAGGTCCGTCTTCCAGAGTCGTTCCGTGACGAGGCCGTCAGGGGCATTGCTACTTCTGTCAAGGACATTCTTGAGAATACCACGCAATTGACCCTTGAAAACGCCCAATGGATACTTGCATCTATGATGGTGCTTTCTTGTTGCGAAATGATCGAAGCCGGAGCTGAAGCGGCCGATTGGCACCGAAGAGCTGCGCGACGATTGGTTGGCGTGATCAAGACGATGGACTGGTGCCATGACCAGATGATATCATTTCTGATTAACCAGCTTGCCATATACGATGTCCTATCTTGTACAACGTCCTTCGACCTATCTAACATTCAGGAAGCCATACTTCCAGTGACTGAGGAGGAAGATGTATTATTTTCCAAGCTTTTGCTTCTTATCCACGATGTCACATTATATCGTGGGCGATACGACAACCCCGAGATACAAGGAGATGACCAAGAGCATCTTGATTCTAGGAGGAAAGCTTTGCTTACTTTGAGGGCGAATATCGAGCTCGCTCGAGGAGAAACTCTCATGGTGGCTGGTACTCTAGGTATTCAAGATGCGTCAGACCGGAGAGACTTTATTCGACTTGTCGATCTACACTGTAAAGCGACACTAGTCTTTGCCCATCGTGTAATGTACCGGGATGAGAGCAACTGTGGGCGCCAACTTCTAGAAGACATGTTCTCGGTCCTGGCTTCGATTGAGAGGCCCGAGCGAATATGTCACAATCTCCCTTGGCCTTTATTCATGGCAGGAACAGAATGTCACGGGGACCCGGAGAAACAAAGGTACATCGTCCTTCACTTCAGAGGCGTTTACGACACTACGGGCTTGATCCATTATCAGGAACTGGTTGAGTTTCTCACATCGTTCTGGGCCGGTGAAGAGCCAGATTGGCAAGTTGGGGCTAGCCAGCGAGAGGCGATGGGGTTACGCATCCTCGCTATATGAAAAATGGGCGGTGATCTGCCGGATTATCGGTGTGAGCCCGGCGACCAGATCCGGCAGATCACCAGGCAATTCCTTATCAGCCACGCCCTTTTTCTTGTCGACCATATCTATATTACTCAGACAACTTAATTTAGTCTCTGAAGTCTCCCTCTGGTGGTAGACGGTTTGAGGATTTTTCTCGCCAAGACTTCCCCATTAAGCTTAGCACGGCCTATCCACCCCACCGTCACTTATCAAGTCAGTCAGATACTTACTCCAAAGCTTGAGGTAACAGTGTTGCCTATATTGTCATTTCAATTTTCCTAAGTGCCCTTTTTTTTCATGTTTACCCTACTGTGTTTCACTTTTGTACGTATAGAATTCTCAAGTACTCTTTGTTATTGCCATGGCTGTCACCTCAAATATCCTGCTTGTTGGAGGTGGAGGACTCGGTGTCATTGCCGCTTTGAGCCTTGAGGCCAGCTGCAGAGCCCAAGTTACAGCTGTTCTCCGTTCAAACTACAAAATTGTCAAGGAAAATGGCTACAACGTCAAGTCATGCGATCACGGAGATATTGAGGGTTGGAGTCCCACCAAAAGTAAGTATCACCCACAGCTTGTTATTCCTGCTACTTATATCCGCCCTGTAGTTGTGCGCCAAATTCCTCAAGTGTCCTCGGACGACCAAACTTATGATTATATCGTGATTACGACTAAAAACATACCAAGCGCCGGTCCAGGCATGGCAGAATTGATTGCGCCAGCAGTTTCACCCCGCATCACAGTCATTGTCCTTATCCAAAATGGGCTGAACATTGAGAAACCGTATTTAGAGCGGTATCCATACAACATCGTTCTATCAGGTATCAGTTTTGCCGGTTCTCAAGAGTTACAACCTGGCGTTATCGAACATGGTAACCATGATCACCTGCTCGTGGGCGCGTTTTGGAATGAAAATGTCGATATCGCACGGGAGCAGGCAGCGGCCAAGAGTTTTGTGTCACTATACGCAGCCTCAGGAAAAGCATCCTGCTTCTACACTGCCAACCCCATGTCACACAGATGGAAAAAGCTGGTCTACAATGCTATCATGAATCCACTCTGTGCCATTACCAATCTGGACTCTGGATCTCTGAGACAAAGCGGCTCGGCAATTCTGAAGACCATCCGAGATGCAATGGAGGAGATCATAGCCGCCGCAGGAGCAGCCGGTTATACCCTGCCCCCAGGGACCGCTGAGGATTTGCTTAAGGACGATCCCATAGACGGTCATTTTGAGCCGAGCATGCTCCAAGATGTTAGGAAGGTTTGTCAGAGTGCTGAGAGCTTTTCAACACTATGATTGATGATCTGACGATTCTAGGGAAACTTGATTGAATATGAGTATCTGGTTGGGGAGCCGTTGCGTGAAGGACGTCATCTCGGGGTCCAAATGCCAACTCTCTCAATGCTATATGCGATGTGCCAGGCTTTGCAATACAGAATACAATGCGCCAGACCTTCTTACTAGAGTGACAGAAGTCAGATAATTTCAGCCGCTTGCTTTTTTATTTGCACACTAGGTAGCTGTGATAATATAGCTGAGTAAGGAGTAGCAGTGAGGCTAGATAGGTTATTCCCGCTTGATTTTAGCAACTGAATAAAGCACCCCTATTATTTCTCTGCTGCATCATACCGAGCAAGTAATATGAACCTCGGCTGCTGCGGTGTCCACGAAGCACTGGTATATAACATTAGTATTCCACTCTACACGCCGAATCTTTCTTGGATGCTGAGTGCCAATGTTAACATAACAGACTTTGATCTATTTAAGTACTTGTCGCTCTCAGTAAAACTCCTCCCTAAGAGCCTCTCCCACCCTTTGTATAGCTATATCCAGTTCCTCCAGTGAAATAGATGCAAAGGTAGCCCTTAGAAACATATTTTCAGGTGTTTCGTTCGACGCGAAAAATGCACTTCCCTTGCAACATAATGTACCCTTCCTCAAACCCCCTCTATACAAGCTGTCTTCGATGGCCGCGAATGTATTCGAAAGTGACTCATCATGAATTTTGCTGGCCAGGCTATGCTGCCGCCAATCTAAATTGATCCAAAGAAACATGCCGGCTGAGGGAACCTGCCAGGAGCATATATCCAAAGGGAGGTGCTTTTTGCATGCCTTGATAAGAGTGTCTCGGCGATTTGCGTACTCATCGCGCAAGTAAACGAGCCATTGAGTGAACCCGCGATGTCCCCATTTGTCTTCGAGGAGGTGGCTTATGGCAAGCTGCGACAAGCCGCTCGGGCAAACCACTCCGACGTCATGATGGTTCCGGATTTTAGAGGCTATATCCGAGTTGGTCGTCATCCAGCTGCAGCGAAGACCTGGTCCAAGTGTCTTTGATGTTGAGTCCAAGCGAATAACTCGGCCTGATACATCCATTGAGAGGTAGGAAGGTACAAGGCTCTGAAGATAGCTGTCCAGATCGGATGAGTGCTGTGATGAATTCGACTCGCTTGTTGCTTCCTGCGTAGTGAATTGCAGGTAGTAGTAAGGATCATCCTCAATGACGAGAAGGTCGTGTTTCTCAGCAACTTGATAAATCTCTTTGCGTCGCTGGAACGTTTGAGTAACTCCGGTGGGATTGTGGCCAGTGGGGATGGTGTAGAGAAGGAAGGGCTTTGCAGAACCGCGTTCGCTTTCATCCCAATGGGAAAGCACTGAATCAAGGTCTTTTGCTGAGATGCCTTGTTCGTCCATTTTCACTGTTGCGGTACGAAGTCCTAAGGGCGTCATAGCTTCGAGGGTGCCGGAGTAGGTGTATTCCTCCACCAGAATGTGATCACCTCTGATGCAGAACATCCGGAACGCATGCTCAATGGCAGATGTACTTCCGATATTTAGGAACACTTCCCAGTTGGAATATGGCGGATCATGAATAGCTTCGATATGCTCTGTCAGAAAGCGAACGAGGATCTCGCTTCCTCCAGCATACCCGTAGCTTAATGATGCAGGTATCTCAACCGACAGGTCGCGATCTCCATGATGGCCATTCGTCTGCGGTTTCTCGCCACGAGGATGTTGCGTACTAAAGTCATTAGGCTGGCAGAACCTGAAAGATAGATCGAGCAGCGGAAAGTATTCTGGAGATGGTCTTCCAGTTGCCAAGCTTAGGACTCGACCAGTCAACTCAGCCCCCGCCGCTTTGAGTGTAGCAGCCTCTCTCGCTCTGCTCTCATCATTCAGACGATGGTTAAAGTTCCTAGACCGAGGCTTTTGCAAGCTTCGCTGCGTTTTGAACAAAGCCGAAGAAGTGGTAGGGGCGATGCCGCCCGTCAATGGCTGGGAATGCTTGCGAATGGCGGCCAAATCGTCCAGAGTCAATCTTCGAAGCATTTTAATGAAATATTTGATAGAAGAAGGTGTTTAGAGATATGCTTGTTTGGCATCGCAGAAATAACGGACAGTATTGACGTTATAAAGATACGGCTCAGAGAGATTGAATCAAGTGATTGGGGAGAACATGTAGCCAAGGCGACATACCATACTCACAGAATAAATACCCTTCTGGGGATGGTGGCATTAGCTGATGCCAGGGTCCCTCTTCTAAAACAACCAAGTTGGTGGAGCCGCCCCAGGCTCCATTTTCTCCATCGTAATGCCTTTTTAGGATGAAACTCCGCTGTTTCTCCTAATCACTACAGTTCTGGGATAAGATCCACGACCCTGTCAATGCGCCCATGTGAAGGTCAAAAGTCACCCAAACTTCCTTTCCCGATCGACTTATTCCCTGTTCATCGCACCGTTATCACATGCAAAGTCGTGAAGTTTCGGAAGAGGAGCATCATTGACAGGAAGAAGGGCGTAGACAGCTCATTTGAGCTCCTCGTTGTCATTCTGGTGGGTTCTACTTACAAGATGATGTGATCAGTGAAAAAGGGTGCAAAGATTGAATATTTTGAACAAAAAGTAGCCATATCTAGAGTATTTGTTCTTTGATGTCCTATATATTTCTACTGGCTTTATTGTGAACAATACTGCGATGAACTTAGCAACAACTTTCAAATCGGCGACCACAGTTTCAGCGACCATGCTAGTAATAGACCATGACAGACCGGACGGACCGCAGCAGGCAGGATCACAGCCAAAAGTCAATCTAGCTAGACCTTGGTGTGTCGTAGCTGGATCGTTGGCGATCATTTGGGCTACTTATGGTCTACTTGCGTCAAATGGCGTTTTCATATCATACTGGTCCTCGAATCAGCTAGCACATATGCCCCGAAGCTCAACAACTTGGATCAACGGAGTTCATCTCTTTCTAAGTCTTGTCCTGGGTTACCCGGCCGGCCTCATCTTTGACAAGTACGGCTCTAACCTTCTCATGACCGGTGGTGGTATCTTTTACCTGGCGGGGATCTTCGCCATGGCAGAAAGCACAAAGTTCTGGCACTTCATGCTCGCGTATGGCGTCGTTGCGGGAACTGGTTGCGGTGTATCAAGTACAATTGCAATCAGTGTTCTCAGTCATTGGTTCAAGGAGAAACGGGGGCTAGCAACGGGCATTGTCATGCTGGGAGGAAGCTTAGGAGGCGTCATGTTTCCGCTGACGCTGAGGCCATTGTTCCAAAAGATTGGATGGTCTTGGAGCATTCGAGCCCTTGCAATCTTTATCTCTATCCTGGTTATTATTGGGATTCTGTGTATCCGATCGGGACCTCAAATGCGACATACGAAGAAGGCACCTTTCAAGATGTTCTTGAACCCGACATTCCTTCTCATGACTATCGGTGTTGCTGGTAAGCCTTAATCCCCAAATAATACTTCAAGCGCTAACCAGTCTAGCCTTTGACTTTGTTCTGTTCGGAGCTCTTGGATTGCTACCAGCATTCGGAGAGAGCTTAAATCACAGTCATACTACTAGCTACCAGTTGCTTGCAATACTAAACGCGTATGTTACGTCTTATTCAGTGTGAAGCCATAGCTAAAGCGAGTACACAGCTGTTCTGGAGTAGGACGCATCCTGGCTGGAATGTTGGCAGACCGCATTGGCCCCTTGAACGCCACAATCTCTGTTCTCTCAGTCGGACTGATCTCGATGTTAGCATTTTGGCTGATATCGAATCTACATGTCGCACTTCTGTATGCATTCGCGGCCATGTTTGGACTGAGCAGTGGTGGTGTCCTGAGCCTGGAACCTCTTTGTATTGGCCGGTTATGTCATGAAAGCCACTTTGGCCAGTTTTATGGAGCCTGCTTTCTTGCGGTTGCCGCGATGTAAGTTTATTGTTGCACTCTTTTATTGAGACATGTCAGATATGCTAACTAATCTGAAAAGAACCATGATTTGCATTCCTGTGGGTAGCACCCTGCTTGATACCTTTGGGCAGCATGGATTTGTTGCTTTCTTTGCCTGTGTACTGCTCATCTCGATTATAAGTTTTGCGGGATCCCGATGGCTCATTTGTAAAGGAAAGGTGGATGGAATGGTCGACGATGGACAGGAGATAATGGTTGAGCAAAAGAGAGGCATCCGTTATGTATAGAAGGCTAGAGGAGAATTGATTTTACTACTGCTCTAAGGCACCTGCATATATTAGTTATGAGCTACTCGCTAGTTATCATATGTATTATAACCAAGCCTTTTCTAAGAACTCTCCTATATCTATAAACTTGTGCGCTGGTAGAAGTTTGCTCCACTCATCTGTGAGGTTCCAGTGCCCATCAGCAATTGCCAATAGAGTATGTGCCGTCATCTGCTCCATCGTCAATTGCTGTTCATTAGAAGCTATCTCAGAATGAAGGGAGGCAGGGACCCAAGTCCCAAGCTTTCCTAAAAGGAGATCATGCCGTTTAACCGTTTCAACTGTGAATCCTCTCCCTTGATAAGAATATTAGCAAACTAAACACGCATCATTGTGGCCATTTTCTTCTGTGATATCATACCTCGAATCCTCTCACCAAGCTGAAGCAGGCCGGAAATGGTAAGTTTATTACCGGAAATACCACCGATGACAGGCCATTCATCTTTATACTCCAACGCTTCACTGACAATTGCTGCGAAGTCGTCAATGGCAGTAAAAGATACAACAGCGTCCATCTTCTCAGGAAGAACAGCGCGGCATTTATCAAAATCGATAAATAGGCCGCTGTGCGAAAGATTTCTCTCGCTCAATTTCTCTGGTGGGCTGAGGTAGTCCATGAAAATTCCTGGGGTAAACAAACAGTACTCGAATACCTGTCATTTCAAATATCATTAATTTTTGGTAGTTAATCCTTCGGCATACGCATGTACCTTGCCGTTCTTGTTTAAATTTTCCAGCTATTGCCTCGTTTGGACTTTGTAACCGTACATGGGATAATGGTGCAGTACAGACCTGCGAACCTAGCATCAGTACTCGAAAGAGATGTCAACCTGAGTTTCAGATCTCTACTTATACCGACCATTCGCTTGGGGCAAATCTCTTGACGCCAGCCTGAACAACGGCGTCGATCAGGTTCAGTTGAGCCTGGTATGCCTCATCTGAAAACACCAGAATAAACGATAAGACGACATCAAAGCCCCGCAAGGTCTGAGTAAGCTGCTGCTTATTGTAATAACCGATCTTGCACCAACGCAGCCCGGGCGGGTGGTTTCCAGGCGATTCCTGAGAGGTTAACATGATGAAAACAGGACTCGGGCGTAACTTATTGTTGACATACCTTGCGTGGTAATGCTGTTACTTCATGACGGCCTCCCTCTAGAAGTATCCTTATGAGTTCTTGGGCCAATTCTGGGATTCGATGGCGCTGTCAGTAAAAGGCGAGAATGAATACATCAGTCTGGTTTGTACAAACCTCCAACACCGGCAATGGCGACCTTGACCATATTGATCTTTTCAACAGAATTTAAGGATATTCAGAATAATAAGTTGACCTATTCGAACGATCTTTTTTTGCCGGGCATTAAGGTGTGGCGGCCCTGTTTTTTAAGTTAGGCTGCGCTGCCGATCGACGGACAGGCCTGCTTGAAGGCCAAATTCTTCAAGTGTTCAGCGTCCTATCTCCAGCACCAGAGGCTGTGCTGTGCTATTTCTTATTATCTTGTTTGGTTTGTTAGTATGTTTTTCATGTCTGTATAGCTTCCAAACGGCCTGTGCTTATCGCAAACTTGATCGCTGCTCGCACCGCTCCCAAGTTCAGGCTCCACCTATGCCCATCCTCTGCTGTCTTGCCTCCCAGGAAGAACGATAGGTTGCCTATCATTTCCCGGTTGATATTTCACATGTGTTTTCGTTATTCGTCCCATCGTAGGCATCGCAAGAGCAAATGGTCCACCGTTTCTTCTTCCTGGCCACAGTCGCACTTATCTGTCTCTACCGCGCCTATCTCGTGTAGGTACCTGTTGACCCGCGCCATCCCCGTTCGTAGCTGCACCAGGATGTCGGACTCGCGCCTCTTTAGGGAGTCGTATAGTGTGCGCGTGTGCTTGCCGGGCAGCGCCTTGTGGAGCTGCTTCGAGTAACTGCCTACGCCATCAGGGAGCACCATGCGCCGTCTGTGTTGTGCCAGTAGTACTCAGTCGGGTCGATCTGGCCTGTCTTAGCGGGTTTGTTACTCTGCATCCGCTTTCTGTGGCTTTTCGTGCTTCAGCCTTTGCTTTTACTCCCAGTGTGAAAGACTCGTTTGTGGAGGATATCCAGCGCATTCTAATGGTGTTGCCAACCTTTTCCAGTCGTCTCGCATGTCTGTAGATCTCCCGGATGGTGCCTTGTCCTGACTGCTGTCGAGGTTTCGTAATCGCTTGTAGCACCGATCGGTTTCTTGTTGCAATGACCACCTCTCGGTGTCGGAGCCCATCGGGCATGCACCTGAGGACCATTGCTATCGCTTCCAGCTCGGCCATGTATGCGTTTTGCTCGTCTCTCGGGCCAAGAGTGACGGAGTACTTTGTTATAACATCATCATTCGCTCCTCCGCCGGCGGTGTTGCGCACGACGCCACCCATGCTGACTAGTCCGTTTCTCGCAGAGGCGCTCGTTGCGATGAGCACTGATCTCGCGCTCCTGGTATCGGTCACGTTATCGCCTGTGCCTGCATCTGCCACTATCTCATTGTCTGAATCGTACCCCACCACCATATGTCTATGCCACGGTGGTAGCGCATACGGCTCGATCGTTTCTATCCGTTCTACTGCTCCATCGTGCGCGAGTGCTAGCTTCGTCAACGGCGACAGATATCTCCGTGTCTCTCTCACCCTAAGTGCCGCAAGCGGGTGCGTCTTCGGCAGTGTTTGCGTGTTGACGTAGAGCCTCGTGCCCGCCTGCGCATGACGTTCGCCGACTGGAGTAATGCCAGCTTCCGCTTCCGCCACTGCTACTGACACCGTCTTGAAGGCTCCTGTGATGGCTTGATCACCCATCTTCTGTGCCTCGTTCAGCCATTTTGTCTCCCTCCACCCGCGTCTGTAAGACCATACGTTCGAAGCGTAGTCTATCACCAGGACTACTATTATTACAAACAGCTGCCTCGCCGTCTAGGGCATTAACATCTTCAGCCTTTATAGACATATGGCCGCCTGAAGGCCCTGTGTAGCTGCTTTTGCTATATGCTCCTTATACCGCAACTCTAAGTCTATCACTAGCCCTAATATCTTGCCGCTTTTCTTTAGGAATGATTATTTAGCCCTTGATTATATATAGGTTTTTGTCGGTGTATTTGGGATGGCGCGTGAAGTGTATGATGACCGTCTTGTCTTCCTTAAATGTCGCCCTGCTCTATCTCTCCTACTTCAGTGCTCTATTGATTATAGCCTAGATGCCTACTCGGTTGGCCTCTACTATTAGGCCCGTTACCCAGGCCAGGTAGTTATCGATAAAGGCAATCGATCTACCTTTTGTATTGATCTTGCGCTATATGAGGTCTGTATTAAAGAAGAGGAACAGCACTGGTAATAAGCGTGACCCTTGCGGAAGTCTGGCCTGCAGTAGCTCCTGTTACTTAGAGGTATAGCCGTTTACTATAATAGTTACAGACTGGTTAGAGCAGAAAGCATTAATCCACTTTACTAATCCCTTATAGATACCTCTGGCTTCTAGTCTCTATAATAGTTAATCCTTAAATACCCTGTTATATGCTCCCTTGATATCAAAGCTTATCAGGCTGAGCACCTTCTGGCTGCGCCACGCTTTATAGATATGCTCCTAAAGGAGCAGGAGAGCCTGCTTGGCTGATCGTTGCTTCCTTCTGCCGAAATGGTTAGTAGGTAATAGTCTAAATATTTCTACCGCATATAAGATCTGGTCTGTAATAACCGCTTCTAATATCTTACCTAGTATTAATAGAAGTAAGATTGGTCTCTATAACTTGGCTACCTTATAGTTATCCTTGCCTGGTTTCTTAAGCAGGATGATTTTAGCGCTCCTCAACTAGACCGGCAGCTCTCTATCTCTTAGCGATATCCAAAACAGATACAATACCCGGTCTCCTACTATAGGCCAGAGCTGCTTCTATACCATCACCGGCAGTCTATCTTTGCCCGGAGCTTTCCATGCCTTAGCCGCCATAATCTTCTCTTCTACTACTTTTAGCATCAACTCTAGCATCGCTACTTATCGCTGCGCTAGCCGGCGCTTTTCATCCTCGATCATAGCCGGCAGAGGCGGGAAGAAGACGCTGAGAAGCTCCTCCGCCTGTCCCACCTTGTCGCTCGTCGTCGTTCCATCTCTTCTCTTTAGAGGAGGTATCTTATCACCCATCGGGACCAGAACATATGTATTGCGTCGCAATGTTCACAGTAATCAGCCAGCGTACTAGCACAGCTTATGACAGGCATGGCCAGACTGAACGGATACCTTTTCCGAATTAGAGTAGCAGCGTCACAGCAATGCGCATGCGGGCAAGCGATAGAGACAGTCGAGCATTTCTTCTTTCAATACAGGAAATGGACAGCGCATAGGACTGAAATGCTATAATGCACCGAGACACTGCGAGGAAATCTTTCGTTCTACCTCGGAGGAAAGTCACCATCAGATAATGCGAAGCGAATGCCAAACATGCAGGCAGTCCACGCAACTATACGATTTGTAATGGCTACAGGTCGACTCGATACAAAATATTGAAGCCAGATTGCAAGAATCTCACCTCCTTATTCTCACTAACTCACTTGTAACCTACATCAAACACCCCGTATCATAAAAGTAGACGCCGCTTCAGCCGCCGTAAATAGGACATTAAACACTTGAAGAATAGCCTTCAAGCTAGTTCGCTGGCAACGCAACCAAACTACGGGAGAACGCGTGGAGCAGAACAGAATGGAAAAGTTTAATCAAGGAACAGGCGTAGTATGGGCTTCAGGAGACATATTTTGATTTGGATGGCGTAAAGCAAGGTTAAGTATGGGCTTTAGGAAATGCAGATACAAATTGAGCAATATGTGGCACAGCATGGGCTTGAGGAGACGAGGATGAAAATCAGGCATTGTATGTAAGCACCAGTGACTAGTGCCTTTTTGGCTACAACAAGCCGCCGGGCGTAATTAATTGCATTGTATTGTATTGTTTACAGCAGTCATTGTAGTAGGCTCGCTCTGCTTAAAGGTTGAGGTTGCCAATGGTAATAGACTTGATGTTCTGGTACTCCGCGATACCATACAAACTACCTTCCTTTCCGTAACCACTCTCCTTAACACCGCCGAAGGGAGCCTCGGCGGCACTGATCTTGCCGGTGTTGACCCCGACCATACCGACCTGCATCTTATAGGCGACGCGCATAACACGACTGATGTCCTTGGAGAAGAAGTATCCGGCAAGACCGAACTCGGTATCGTTAGCCAGGCGAATGGCATCCTCCTCGGTCTCGAACTCGAAGATAGGGGCTAGAGGGCCGAATGTCTCATCCTTGGCGACGGTCATCACTTGGGTGACGCCAGTGAGGACGGTAGGCTGGTGGAAGAAACCAGGGCTATCGGGGGTGCTGCCGCCGATAGCAATCTTGGCGCCCTTGGAGGTGGCATCGGAAATATGTTCCCTGACTTTGTCGACAGCGGACTTATTGACGAGAGGACCTTGAGTAGTAGACTTATCGAGACCATTACCCATCTTGAGGGCGTTGACTTTCTTGATAAGCTTGGTGGCGAACTCCTTGGCGACACTCTTCTGAACGTAGAGTCGGTTGGCGCTACAAGTCATGTTAATCAATGATGAGAAAACACACACATCCTGAATGGTAACTTACCAGACACAGGTCTGACCGGAGCATCGGAACTTGCAGAACATGGCACCCTCGGCAGCGAGGTCGAGGTCGGCATCTTCAAAGACGATGAAGGGAGCATTACCACCGAGTTCTAGGCTCACCTTCTTTAGGGTACCAGCAGCAAGCTTAGCAAGGTACTTGCCAACGCTAGTAGAACCGGTAAAAGAGATCTTCTTAATGAGGTGGTTGGTAGCTAGCTCTGAAGCTGCCTGGCGGTCACGGGTAGGGAGGACCTGGATAGTGGCGGGAGGAAGACCAGCATCGACGGCGAGCTTAGTGAAGGCAAGGGCGGAGTAAGGGGTTTCGGAAGGAGGCTTTATGACAACGGAGCAGCCGGCGGCCAGAGCGGGAGCGATCTTGCGGGTGATCATCGCAGCGGGAAAATTCCAAGGGGTGATAATACCACAAACACCGACGGGCTCGCGGATGGTCATAAGGGTAGTATGAGGAGCAGACGAAGGGATAGTGACGCCGTAGGATCGAGTGGCCTCCTCGGCAAACCATGAGATGAAGCTGGCGGAGTAGATGACCTCACCCAGGGCCTCGGCGAAGGTCTTGCCGTTCTCAAGAGAAAGGATCTTGGCGACTAGAGGGTGCGTTATTAATCTTTTGTGATACAGGTCATGACACCAAAGTATCCGCGGGAAAACCACGTACGGTCCTCTTGGTTGGCAATGACCAGATTGTGCCACTTCCTTAGAAGGGCACCTCGGCTAGCGCCAGTTGTGGTGTCAAAGTAGCTTGTCTGGGCAGCATCGGCGCTCCTGATCGCGGTTTGAAAGTCTTTTAGGGTGCAGTTGGCTACCTGCCCGAGGACGGTGGCAGTAGAGGGCTCTGGGAGTATTGTCAGCTTCTGCAGCCTTGGAACTCAAGACGAAACCGTCACAAACCAAAGACATCGAACTTGTTGTCCCTGGCAACCCATTTGCCGTCGATGAAAGCCTCCTGAATGAAAAGGCTCTTGTCCTTGAGCTGTTATCGAGCATGTTAGCCGTTGTGAATCTTACTGAGGGGAAGAAAGCTTCATGACTGAGGGGCAACATACGCCGGCAATAGCCTCCTTGTGGTAGTTCTCAGCCATTATGTCTGTGGTATCAAAGAAACAAATTTGTCCAAGTACAAGAAAAAAGGAAGTTTGCCAGAGGATCAGGAAATGAGAAGATGAGAGGGGGAGAAAGGCAAGCCAAGATACAAAAAGATCACAAAGGTTCGGCTCTGTTATCTACTAAGTAGCTAAATAAACAGAAAAATTCGCGACAGCTCCTGAACAGGTATCATATAGACACGCTAGAAAATTTTCAACCCACCAGAGGCACATGTAAAAGCGATATGACCCATTGTTGTCTATACGGTAAATAATTGCTTCAATAGAGACCAGTTATGAGCAGAGAACGATCCATCCGACCTCCGGTTTGGGGTCAAAATCCAACTTACGAGGTCGGGGCTAGAAGGAGTGTGGCTCCCGGCCACTACAGGCGCCTGTAAATCGATTGTGGCCTCTACTTCACTGAATAGCCCTGGAGATGCTCCAAATTCACCAATAGTAGCTTCCAGGTGTTCGGGAATGCTAGAACCGGAACCCGAACCGGGCCGGGTACTGTCGGCCCGGTAGGTGGAGAAAGGAATTGGAATTCCGGCCTCTGGTAGCCACCCATTGTAAAGCAGGGCAAGAGCGGGGAACTAAGTTGTTCATGTAGGGTTGTACGCCTGGTACTCGTTTGTGCGTTTGTATTGCTCTCATGAACTCGAGCCGAGGTAGTTGTCACAGACCGGCCACTGGGAGTGGATAAAGGTAAAAGTGAGAGGTATTGGACGTATGAGCAGTGGGAATGCTCGTGACGTAGTCGGGTTTTACAATCTTTAGGTCTACCGCTTCTATAACAACTTGCTATCCTTCTTTGTTCTGGTCCAGATCTATCTCTCCTGCAACTCATCACAACCCCCTTATAAGAGTCGCACAATGGCCCCTCCTACTACCTTCAAGCTCAACACTGGCCAGGATATCCCTGCCGTAGGTCTGGGTGCGTGGTTTTCACATTTACCAAATCTCAAGAAACTCAGTTGATTCGAGTTTCGTTCCTCTAGGTACTTGGCAGTCCCTCGCCGGCCAGGTCGAGAGGGCCGTCACATACGCTCTTAAGGATGGCTACAAGCTCATCGATTGCGCCTACTGCTACGGAAACGAGGAGGAAGTCGGCGCTGGTCTAAAGGCTGCCTTTGAGGCTGGTGTCAAGCGTGAGGACATCTTTGTTGTCACCAAAGCCTGGGCCACTTACAACACTCGTGTCGAGCTGGCTCTCGACAAGAGCTTGAAGGCCCTCGGCCTCGACTACGTTGACCTTTTCTTAGTGGTAATTATCATGTTTTGAGACAACTCAATCGAGATCCAGCATACTAAACAGTTCTAGCACTGGCCTCTTCTCCTGAACCCCGAGGGTAACGATGACAAGTTCCCTAAGAAGCCCGACGGTTCCCGAGACGTCATCCGAGACTACAACCATGTTGATGGCTGGAAGCTCATGGAGAAGCTCCCCGCTACTGGTAAGACCAGGGGTGTCGGTGTCTGCAACGTACATCAACTCACAATTAGGCTATCAAAGCACAACTGACATTCACTTCTACAGTATAGCAAGAAGTACCTTGAGGAGCTTCTGCCTCATGCCACCATCCTTCCCGCCGTTAACCAAATCGAGAACCACCCTAATCTTCCCCAACAAGAGATTGTCGATTTTTGTAAGGAAAAAGGCATCCATATTCAGGCCTATAGCCCTCTGGGTAGTACTGGTGGTCCCGCTATGACCGCTGAGCCCGTCGTGAAAATTGCCGAGAGGAAGGGCGTCTCTACCTCTACCGTTCTTCTCAGCTACCACGGTACGTTCTCAAATGTTTCTTTCAAGTCTCTGCACTTCAACTAACAAATCAAATAGTCGCCCGCGGAAGCACCGTCCTCGCCAAGTCCGTCACCCCCGAGCGCATCACTACCAACAAGACCATTGTCGAGCTGGATGAAGAGGACCTCAAGGCCCTCAATGACTACTCCCACGACCTTGTGAAGAAGGATGAGGTGAAGAGATACATATACCCTCCTTTCAGTATTGACTTCGGCTTCCCCGACAAGTCGTGAATCAAACGACGGTTGTAAATGGATAAAGCGATAAGATTTTGGAAAAAAGCAAAGCGACCTTCTCTGTGATTACAAAGTACCGGTATCTATATGATAGACTAGGGGGCTCTAAAGAAGCTTTGTAAATACAACATGCAAAAACGCATGGAATGTTTTGGTTTGTCGAGTGCTAGTGAACCAATCTCTTGACTTCGAGATTCATCATGCATTATTCGAAATTTACAACCTCAGTTGTGGAATACTCCACGCGGGGAGAGCTCGTGCATCGGACCACCCTGAGAGCTACTTGGGCTCATCTTCAAACTTGTCCATGCCGTTATATCTTTGGGTGACGGATAACATCGGGCATGTTTGCTGGAGGGTTGGCAAGGAGCTCGATGATGTCCTTGTATGTGTTTGCGTAGCGGAAGACACCAACAATGTCGACTTCGCTGTGGGCGGCCGCTGAGATAGGGATGGTAAGCACAGGTGTGCCCATACCGATTATCATGACCTCGCCTCGCCTCCAGGCTTGGAAGCATATATAGCGGTTTGCACACATGTCTCAACACCAGTGCACTGATAGACAGCCGTGACCTCACCAACAGCCTCACCGTTAGCCCTAGTCTCCTTAACCAGAGCAGCCACCGTCTGATCAAAGGTGAGCTTGTCCTCCATGGTTTGTGGGCGCTCCATGGGAACTAGTACGGAAGCATCGGCAAAACCGTTGGCGGTAGCAAAGTCAAGACGGTCCTTGAGGATGTCGGCGATAATGACAGTTTTGGCCTGGTCGACCTTGACGATAGCGGCTGCCAGCAGACCGACAGCGCCGGCGCCGAGAATAAGAACGGTTGAGCGTTTAGGAAGAGCGGCACGGTCTCTGGCATGCATAGCAACTGAAAGAGGCTCAACGAGAGCGCCGAGATCGAGAGTAATATGGTCGGGCATCCTAGGTTTCTGTCAGGCCAATTTCTTGCATCTCTAAAGTATTGGATGCCTTACTTATGGCACCACTTGGCAGGGTGATTAATACCCCATTGAAGTGTTCCCTGCGCATGAGGGGTCGCCTTGGCTGAGCTACGGAACTTCATGTCTCAGCAGATGTTGTAACGGCCCTCAGCACAGAGCTCATATGCCTCACAGGGCAGGCCAACCTCGAGAGCGACATGGTCGCCGGGCTTGAGACATGTGACTTCTGAGCCGACAGAGATAATTGTGCCAGCAGACCCATGGTCGAGAGTGAGGGGCTCGCGAACGATGATGTCGCCGTTGCGGAAGTGGCTGTAGTAGTGGAGATCGGGGCCGCCGAGACCGGTGGACTGAACAGCGATCTGGTCTTCGTTGCTAGCGGGATTAGGAAGCTCACGCTCTTCCTGCCTCATGCGTTAGTCTGGTTTTTTGAATACACGGACTCCCAAAAGCCCGATGCGCACCAAACGAAGTTCCTTCGGGCTATGAAGAACGGAAGCTTTGACATGCTCAACTGCCATGATGGAGAGGACGGTGGGAGAGAAGTTGTGAAAATGATGACAGAAAAACTGTGATCAATGCAGTGCTGCCCTCAAATCAAACAAATCAAATCCGGGGTCATATTTAAGATATTTGGCAACCCTTAATGTTAGATTTGTTGTTTGAAATATTTAATCAGATATTCTAAACATTTCAAATCTCAATATCTGTACTCTCTATACTACTATTTCTAATCTCCTACTGGAGTTTATCCCTCCTATCCGTTATCGCCCCTAGCTTTACTGCGCCATGCCTGACCTAGTTCTTAAGGCATTATAACTTCTCTAATGTTTCTGTTGATATTGATAGCGTCTATAATATTAAAGTTAGCTTGGCCAGGATGAATGACCTCTCGCAATCAGTTGCCATCGCCGGTATCGCGAGTATATTAAGAGCTAACTGGCTGACCATCGGAAATTGCCCCTGGCGAGCCATCCACCATTCACTTGGATCTTCGGTTTCTTGTGGCTCCAGCCGCAAATATCCCTCGCCGTACTCTTCGCTGTCCTGCTTTTGATCCAGTGACTGAACACACTAGCTTCAGATGTCTTTCGTGGTACGCTTGGGGATGTCGCTGTCTCCACAAACGCCTTCTGCTGCTCATCCACCGGCCGCCTGCAGCGGTACAGTTGCGTGCAAAAGTTCCGACAATTGTGGGGTCAACACCAATCACCTTGATCGTATGCTATTACTTTGTGAGGCAATTGAGATGCCAATTTACATCCAATTGAGATGTATTATATATTTTATTAAAGCCCCGGATCAGAGGACTTTATTTATATAGCTCAATATTTGGTGTAATAGCCTTTTGCCTGATGAAGTGCAGCGAGGCGTTTCGGCATCGAATTTATCAGGTTTTCAAGCACTTCAGGTTCAAGGTCATTCCAAACCTCTTGTGCGGCTTCAATCAAGGCCGCGATAGCTTCATCCGTAACAGGCATTGACGCAAGCTCAGGATATTGTTTGCAAATACGCTCTTTTAACAGCTTCCAGAGATTTTCAATAGGGTTTAAATCAGGACTATATGCCGGCCAGTCCACCATGAAGATGCCCTCTAAACGACAGTAGATTCTGAGCCAGTTCTGTACAATTCTAGCTCGATAAGTTGGTCCGTTATCATGCTGTAGCGTCATTCCCTCCTCCAAAGCCGCTGGAAGCTGTTGTCGAAGACAGGCCAAGATAATCCGGCCTGTGACGCCCCCACGCTTTGCCAATGGATCGCCGTCAAGGGGGATTAATTCTGATAGTCTGTGTATAGAGAAACCACCATAAACATCTTGGAATGTCGTAGGGGAGTCCTACGAGGTTGAACATTATCCCTGTGAAGTCTTTCGCCCTGTATTGCAGTTATTAATTTCGTCCAAAGAAGCAGCGATAAAACTGACTGCCCGGTGAAAACACTACTTGGTTATATCGCCGTCTGTATGGTCAATTGAGACCTCATCAGAGAAAAACCAAGAATTCCAGTAACTAGCCGGTTCATGACGATATTTCTCAGCGAAATCTCGGCGTTGTTGGACAGCTGTTGGACCAAGAAACGGGCATCGAAGTGCGTGGTGGTGTTGTATACCTTGTTTTTTAAGCCATCTTGTTATAGTCGATCTATGACAACTAATTCCAGTTTGTTCTTTGATTTCTTGGACTGTAATAAAAGGGAATTGATCAATGATACGTTCAATATGCCTTTTATTGCGATCAGTTAATATAGTCGGGCGCCTAGAGCGCGGTTTATCTTTAGCTGAAATCTGGCTTCGGTAGCGCCGTACAATCCCAAAGATCGCGTGTTTTGTAACGCCCTCTTTCGCCACGATTTCGTCCAGTGGGACACCTAAATCTTTCATCATTACAATCTTTGTTCTTTTATGAGAAGAATGATGTGTTTTCTGGCGTACGCGCGGCATTTTTACTATAGATAGAACGTGTTGAAGTTATTGAAGGAATTTGGTGTTGTTGACGGATGAGGGGCTGGGGCGGGAAATTGTCGGAACTTTTCCGCACCCACTGTAGACTAAGGTACCTAAGCGCCTGACAGGTCCTATCGCCAACCTTATATCCTGTATTAAATATATTAAATGTTATTTCAAATCTAAGTTTTCTATTTGCTTGATTTGAAATAAGATTATGACATATTTGATTGATTTGTTTGGCAGTTTGTTTGATTGGATTGGATTTGTGGGCAGTGCTGGTGGAATGAACACCTCGCAAAGCCATTTTAGGGCAATTTGGTTGCCGGTCCAGCCTTTTTCTGATGACGTGAAGTTCCAGTCACCGAGGAAATCGGGGTTATCCGGGAACCATTGTGGCCCAACCGTCTTTCCTTAGAAGTGACAGCTGGAGTGAGGGCTTTTCCTTCCGCCGAGATACTTTCGAGTATTGAAATCCAAGAGCGTCATCCTGGCTGCTTCACCATCACGCCTTTCTACTCTGAGCTTCCTAGGAAATGACCATTGAGTCCAATTTCTTCTATTATCCCTACTTTTTCCATGTTACATCGGCATTTCTGCCTGATCGCCTTGATTACCAGCATCATGAGCAGTGAAGTAAATAGTGTGGCCGTAAATAAGACGATATCATATTCAATATGATATTGCCTGCACGACATTTTGATACCGTGCAGTGCAAGTAACACCGGAAACCGTGTAATTGCGTGCATGGCCGTTTAAATATTATATAAATATGCTATCGAGTATAGTGCAAGTATTATATAATTTGAGCGATACGAGAGCTCTCCTATAAATGAAGCGTTATGAAGATTCCAATTTACAGGACTTTTTATGTATAAAGTGTAACCTGGTTAGGACGTTGATCTGCACTTGGCTGATACTGATAGTAATAATACTACTAAATAAAGGCCTTGCTATAAACTTCTGAGTGTTTGGGTATGTAATAAACTCGCCAGCTCTCTGAGAGCTTTTAGTTCTTATTTTCTTCAATGCAATCAATTTGTTGGTTTCTGAGCATGCTTCTAGACGAATAAGGCCTGTGGCCCTTACATGAAGCGTGTCAGCTCCTGAACTTTTTCGTACTTCATCAGCAAGCTTTATTCTACGAAAAATGACTTCTCAGCGCTGAGGCACTAGCGCTTCCTTGATGGCTACATCGTCCCAGACTTCCCTAGCCCTTGGTTCGTCGTTTATCAGCCACAACGGAGATTCTGATGTCAGAGAGACATCTATTTTGCCGTTGTTAACCTCTCAATTTAAGAAGAAGAAGCGTACGTCGAAGATATGGGATCATACGCCCTTCGGAAAGAATCAGATCATCCATAATACGGAAGGTCAGATTATGTGGCGCTACAAGTATTGTATAGGGAAGCCTGCCGAATATCTCGAAAATGGAGGCACGGCACACATCTACAAGCACCTTAAATCTCACATTACTCTCGAGATATGAACGCCTGATGAAGAAAGGGCTGCTATAACAAGGAGTCCCCGTCAGGAAGCCTTCTCACGAATATCTCAAAACACGAATCCCCTCAAACGCCGTCGACACGATGGCGAAACGACAGATCTTGACGCTAACAAGTTTGGGTAACTGTATGTAGAGTGGATTGCAGACTGCGGAATTGTACTTCATAAGGCAACAAGAGAAAGCTTCCGAGCGTGAGTGCTCTAACATACTTAATATTAATGGTTCACATACTAATACCGGGCAGGTAGACGGTGTGGCTGGTGGCTTAACGAGATATTCAGGGGTTGAGGCAGTAGAAAGAATACATAAAATAATTTAGAAAGTATTGTGCGGCCATGAGGTACCGTAGTGAACTGATGCATACAACATACCGAACTTGCACTAAATCTTTCTCGGTGATCGATGTTCTATGATACGTAGTTGAATCCTATCAGCTAGCCGTATTGCGTTGTTGTTGATGATCATTCCTGTTAGTCAAGGGCTGTTGAAGACCAAAGTCTGCTTAGCCTATAATTGTTGTGGATTGGGATAACCTAGAGCAATATGGAGAGCCCTTGCACGTGTGTTTTCGATTGAGGATAGCTTGGTAAAGCGCAACGGACATGAGGCAACTACCTCAAACTCCCCTATGACTGTCGCCGAAGGGTTCGCTAAATGATGTATGCATCGTATCCGAGGTCTTTCCAAATGTCTAAGAAGTACGTGACGTGGGAAGGCTTTGTAATACAGCTTCGAGGCATTTGTTGGCATGTAGTGTATCGATTTTACGTACGCAAAAGCCAGATGGAGTACGGGGCTTGACCCAGCATGGTTGCAATATGTTAATGCACACTGACACTTCCTCTGTGTGCGCGCCAATCAGCAGTAACGTCTGGCTTCATAACCTTGCTTGACAATTCGGGCAACCAGACGCCGCTCCATGCTGAGAGTAGCACGAAGAATGCCTCTTCAACCAGGGCAAGACAAGGGGATTGGCGATGCAGGCTTGGTTCTGAATAGAGGCGTTCCAGCTCATCGGCAATGACACGAGAATCTGTGACCAAGCCCTGTCCATCGGGAAGGTCAATGGCCGGGACGGTATGTGGACCATCCTCTCGATTGTAACGAACTCAAGATTATTCGCCAGTACATTCCATTTGTCATAGTGATGAAAGGGTCATGGAGTCTCTCACCATTCTCGAATATGGGGACGAATCTCATGTCATTCCAGCTATCATCCATGTCAGTCAGTCTGGTTTTCCGCTGTTGTCTTAGATAAGTGATCCATTCCATTGTGTAAGGGAGACACTTGTAGTTGAGAACAGATCTAGTTGCATATGCATGTTAGTAACCAGGCGGCCTCTAATTTCTGCGTCAAGGTGGTGACAGACTCTCCCATCTATTTATGAACCATGCTTCTCCATTAATGCACCGCATATCAAAAAAGTGAACTTTATCTGATTCAGCCATTGGGAGGGGTGTGGAGGGACTAGGCAGAGGGGGGAGTTTGCTAGGGTTTTATCAAAGAAATTCGCAATTGAGAATTAATACAGGGTGGTGCAGGTCCAGCGTCAGTAGTTTATTATTATAGTTTTATTAAGAATGCCCTAAAACGGACTAAGCGCGGCGCATGGATATATACAGCCAGTGCCGGAATTAACCCTGCTATATCTTAGTTATAATAGGATCTAGGCATTTCGGCGCCTGGGCTTCGATGACCATGTATTCTAATCGACTTATAATCTTTTGCCTCTTATGCAAACCAGCCTAATATCCTTTTTATTTATCTGGTCTTATATAGAGTCTAAATTCACTTAGGATTACTAATACCCATCTAAATACTATTAGTAAGTAGGAAGGCCAGGGATTATACTAGCATCGGTAGTATACTAAGCATGCGCCACGTCTAGTCTATTTTAGGGCATTCTTAATAAAACTATAATAATGAACTACTGACGCTGGACCCGCACCACCCTGTATGGAACGGGGTTGTGATGGCTTTCATTGTCGTACGATATTTATTTAAAAAACAGGCCGATAAGCAAATTCTCTGTAGATCAAAGACCTTTTCCATTCCTTGCGCGGCCTGCAACAGACGGCGATTATATCTGATTGACTTTTTAGCCACGAAGCGTAATAAAGGGCCGATAGTGCAACCGAAAACTGTTTTTTCCCCGCTGTGTTTGCAGGCAGTACTCTGAATACCAGTGTGCTTATTGGGATGGAAGAGTCACAAGATGAATCAGAACGGCTCTCCTACGTAAATTGTCCGATTCGAACTAGGGGACTCTCCATCGTCTTTGCTGCGAGCCTGCTCCCCTTAACTCTCACTCCATGGTCTTTTCCGGTGAAATGAGCCAACCAGCCGTGCTTGCCACATCCTTTTCACTGACAGTAAAATATCCAATGTTCTCGATGCGCTCTCAAAAACATTACCAAGCTCAGCCAACGCCTGGCAGCAAACATCCAGATGCGCAGTTACCTGAGTTCTATCATGGTTCTCCAGCTCTGATACAGCGGCGTAGACCAAGATCAGGGCTGCCGTAAATGCCATATGGACAAACAAGACATTCGCACGACGCAGAGAGAAGCGAAGTTTATAGCCTCCAATCAGCTTAGCAATGTCGATGGCAGAATTTACGCACATGCTCCGTGCATGCTCATGTCCTGCACCAACTCGGGGATAGGGCTGAATATAGCTTTTGGCAACAAAGGGGCGGTGAAGAATCATGATGCAAAAGGCATGTTGCATACTGTTGATGAGCGGTCAGATGATATCCAGCGAGATGTTCTCATGATGAACTTACTGCAGGATCAGAGTATGCGGAAGATAGACACCGGCACCCAAATCATCCGCATTCAGTGCCAGTTCCGGTGGTAAGGTTGATTTCCACATGTTCAGCTCGTGGAAGGTGTTTTGAGCCAAAGACTGCAGTTCAATCTTGCTGACATCCGTCCTGCAGTACCTAAGTTCTGTTAGTCTACATTGGAATCCCAAGGCTATGCCAGTCTCACATCTTGTATCCAAGCTCCGACATGATCTCGTACAACGAAACCCATCTGCCCGCGATGAGTTCCTGGGTATCCGGCCACCTTTGTTGGTTTGCAACCGGAGTCCCGTACGGTGTCCAAAAGGTGTTAGAATGTGTAACAGAGTCTTCAGAAGGCCGCTTTAGAGTAACGTTCTCGAGTGTATTATGAAACGGTCTGCCGAGATAGAAACCCCACATCCGATCCGTGGCAAAGGTTCCCCAGAAGGTCACGTTTCGAACACGGGCTTCAATATCTGACATCCTACCACTTGCGACGTATGGTGTCGGATCAATGTGGAGTCCTAGGTCAAAGGCAAGCCTCATAGCCATACCTAAATAAGCCGGTACCCGTCAGTTGAATGAACCAAGACATAATAATCACCAGACATACCGCTATACAACCAACCTCGTGTATCACGGGTAGCTCCTCCTTCATGGGTGCTTAAAATAGCAAGGGCCTGAATAGTGCTAAGTCGAGGCTTGTCCAACTGCGAGTCTAGAAGACTCTTTGCCCGATTAGCGAAGAAATCACTCAACGGAGTCGGAAGTTCTGGATGTTTGCAACGCTCAAACGATGCGCCAACAGCGCACCTATAAACTATTAGCAATGATCGGAAACTTTGCTGAGGAAGAATATCTTACATTGCATTCACAAGAAACTCGCAATAGAGTCCATCCTCCCTGGGGCTTAACAGAAATTCGTTACGAGCAGTCTGAAAAGCCTCCTGATCAACCACGCGAAGACTCGGGTTTTGCCACGTAAAGTACAGAGTGATAAGGTGGTTGATGAGCTGTTCATCAACTGCATGACCCACACCTGCAGTATCGAGTATGGCTTGAAAACCTTTTCGGCGACTAAAGTCAGGAAAGTCATGCCCAAAATCACCGTGGACCAAATGAAGATTAGACGTGGCGCCGTAGAATCTCCATTCCCCATTGGAATTCAGCAACAATGTCCCCAGGCGCTCGGAAAACTGGTGAGAGACTTCTGCTGTATCCTCCTCCTCTGCGTGGTCTTCATCGTTCTCTTGGAGAGGAGCTACAGTCGAGAGATCTGAACTACCATAGTCATCCTGGAGTGTTGTAGGATTCTCACCGCCCAAGGAGATTGGCAGAGGACCAGCTAGCTGATCTCCAATATCTGCGGACAGAGACGGCAGGGTGGACATGTACCATATAAAATCTGCATCAATGCTCGTGTCCATGGGTAATTGATGCGTTGATGATGTGGTGCAACCAACTCTAGCCTGATCTGTCATGTCTCCAGACAGTGTCATCGGTGTTTTGATCGTTTCTGTCGAGATAGAGGCGTCAGACTGGGTATTTTCCGTACCATCGCCTTCGAATGTTGAGGTCTGAGTGAGATTCCTATCCAAGGACATGGCTTGGCTCAACTCAGGCATCTCAGGAGCGACATCATTCACAGTAATCGGCACAGAATCTCCATATGACTCTGTGAGATATTCCAACATGGAACTGTCATCCAAAATAGGTGCAGGGATCTCAATTTGTCGTTGACGGAGGCATACTTCTAATTGAGAGACGCGGCGCGAGAACACTTCAACAGCGCGCCGCAATGGGATCCTAGGTCAAAGGTCAGGTCGACTCTTGAGAGGCGTGCAGTTCACGAACCTTCGCTTGTCCATGCGAGCATTGTAGGAACAGTCGCGGTTCTTGCTGCTACAAATGCCACAAATGGGCCGCTTCCCATCGCACTGTAGCAGGTGTAATGTGAGCTGAGGTTGGGGTCGTTGAGGACTTGATGCTGATGCTATCACTCACCTTGATCTTACTCTCCCTGCATCGTGCGCAGGCCGTTGTGATGTGACGGCGGCTCGTTGCTTGGGAACTTTCAACATCTGACATGATCAAAACCATGAAAGGGCGAAGGGATCTTGAGAATGAAGGTGGAGAAGGGAGCTGGGGAGGAGATGCATTGGTTTAGTCTTCCCCGCATTCGTCTTTGATTTGAGATTTGCAACGTTAAGACACTAAGACATTATTGGTTAGGTACAGGTCGCTTTAGAATGTGGGGTTTCGTAGGTCCTTTTCACGGTTACTCTTTTACCCTCAGAACCGTCATTACAATCATTATGTTGTATGCTCGGAAACCTGAGATCAATGTCTTTTTCGCTACCGTTTTGTTATTATTTCTCATCCACTAATGAAACCACCGTGCACATAAGTACAAACATCACGTGAGCAAACGTGAAAGAATGCCCTTGGTTAGAAGGAGTATCTGAAAAACACTGGTCCCCCCACTCGGAATCTATTTCCCGACACTCGCGCAGCTGTCATTTGCTTGTGAATGTGCATTTGTCTGATCACCCTACCAACTGAGCTAGGACTATTATACAAGCACTTGTCAATTTTGTTACCGCAAGGTCGATCTAACCAATAAACCTTTTGTGTTGCGTGGTATCACGTTTGAGATTTACATCTACTATACACACGAATTGCAGCATTGGAACTGATCAGATACATTCGAAATAGTTGTGTTGTATTACAGGCGCTGAGTTAAAAGACCTTGGATGGCCATGGATGCACCACAGTCGTTGAAGCTTATAAAATGCTGACGAAAAGTGTTCAAGTAGAGCAGGAGGTAATCAATATTCTCCAACCATTTTGCTCGAGTAGAAGACATTTTAATTGCTAACCTCTTTCACCTACTTCCTGGCGCTGTTGTTGCTCCTATCATCCACATGAACGGCCTGTGGACCCTTTTCAGCACGAGCTTCCTCCGCATCAAAAGCAACGCCTCTCTCAAACAGGTTATCAATCTCCTCTAGTGATAACTTGGCAGTCTCAACATAGAATAACTGGACAACAACAACAAAAGCGGCATTCAAGACCGCATAGATCAAGTAATACCTCCACTGGATATTGCTGATCCCAACTGGTGTCACTAGTACCACGACGTAGTTGCTGATCCAGTTGGTCGCTGTTGCGATTCCGGCTCCAGCAATACGCATCTGCTGAGTGTTGACCTCTGCTGGGTACAACCATGGAACAGCAATCCAAGATAGTCCAAAGGTCGTGTAGTACCCAAAGATGAAAGCTACGGCGACTGCTTGCCATTGTTTAGTGTTAATACCCAGACCAGTAGACACCAGAGCAAAGCAGAGAGCCTGTACAGCTGCGCCATAGACCATCATCTTCTTTCTTCCCAACGACTCGATGTAGAGGGCCCCAACAAAGGTTGAGCACAGCAAGTTGATGGCGTTGCAGGCGCCGAGGATGAGAGAAAGATTTCGGTTAACCCCGAGCGATGCAAACACAACAGGCAGATAGTAGTTGATGATGTTAATGCCCCCAAATTGCTGCATGAATTGGGTTCCAGCACCTAGCAGCATACGTCGAGTCGTTTGAAGACGGTCATTCTTGAGAAGGGACTTGAAGCGAAATCTGGGCATCTCGGCCTCATGGCGTAGATTGCTCATCATCAAGTCATATAGCTCCTTTGTTTCGTCTTCCGGTCTGTTCGATCCGCCAAGCCTCTTCAAGATTGTGTACGCCTCTTCGTTGCGGCCCCGCATAGCAAGCCATCGTGGTGAATCAGGGAGCCAAGGTAGGAACATGACGGTGAGAACAGCGAAGAAACACTGGAAAGCGATAGGAAATCTCCACGAGACAGGGTTGGCGGCGATATGAGACATACCGTAGTTGAGCCATTGGGCCATGACGTTGCCAACTTGGTTGAGTCCTAACTGCAGAACCATGAACCGTCCACGGTGACGAGGATCTGCAGTCTCGGATTGCCAGACAGGAATTGCAGTCGTGTTCATTCCATTTCCAATACCAGCGACGAAACGTCCAATGATCATAACAGGGACGTGGAATGCAGCAGTCTGCATGACAGCGCCAACTATCAGAATGGCACATCCCCATGCGATGGTCATTTTGCGACCCACCCTGTCCCCGAACCACATGGCAAATATAGCTCCAGAAAAGCAGCCAAGATCATAAGTCGCAGTGATCTGGCCTTGGAGAGTCGGATCGGGATCGTTGAAGGTCTTGATGAAGCTTTCGTTGCCGAGAAAGGCGCCGAACACACCTTGGTCGTAGCCGAATAGTGCGAAACCCGCCCCTGAGGCAAATGTGATCATGGTCATCAAAGCATGACCTTGGAGGTTTTCGAGAAACATTTCGCTAGTTGTGTAGAGTCCGGATTTTGGTAGAAGTAGATCTTTGCTTGAGATGTCTGGAGTAAGATTGTGGCCAGAGAGATGATGTATCGTATCCTTTCTCTTTATATATAAACGATATACCCGGCTCATTCGCTGCCTAAGCTCACTACATTATGAGCATAGTACAAGACAACGTAGAGATAGAAGGGTTTCAATTTCCGATGTTCAGGGATTCCGATTGTTAAGGGTTTGTTTGACCCCATGGGGAATTCCGGGGTACCCAGGTCTACAGTAAAACAGGCCTTGTGAGAGGCCTACAGGCGCTCATTACAGAGTCAGAGCAAGGGCCTAGACCACGAGGGGCGTCAGAGCGACTAATCTCCTAGAGCGCAAGGACCTCCAAGCCAGTCACGATGAGGGGTCCGAGCCAATTAAAATGCGCAAAATTAAGGGTACATAATTCCTTACCTCAATTATATGATTATAGAAGTCCCAACAATATTGGTTGTTACAAATCGCAACACTTGCATAATTTGCAGCCGCACCGAGTCTGCTTGCGAAGCTTCCTTTTGTTGCCGTCAGTCTCCTTCAGGGAGCTTCTTTTCTGACCCTTTGCCCTTACTTGACCTTGCTGAGAGCCGTTACAAGCGATGCAGTCTGATTTTATCTTGCGGTTGACATGATTGGTCTGACGATTGATGTGTTTACGCTGTAAATCAGGCTCTCTCAGATCACATTCGTCTCCAGCCCGGTAGAGCTTCCTTGCCTGGCTTTCTTGACCATACGTATTGAATAATTCGTTATAGATGCACTCTTGCCACTCCCTATGAGTCGTATATCTCTTCCAATTTGGCTGTGTACCATATAATCGAATAATATAGCTATTGACAATGCTCATCATATATCAACTCAATCAATCAATCAAATTGTCGAATTCTTCCTTTTAACTAAATTAATTTATATATTATATAATTATCTAATATTAAGGCAAAAATTCTAATCTTCCTAGACCACTTCCCTATACCAGATAGTTGCAGATAGTAATCTACTTTTTAATAATAATAGGTTAGCCCTAAAACTAAGTATTTACTATTATATTTTAGTATATAACCCTATTACTTATATATAATCTAAAACGCGTTTCCTAACTATATTATACTATTAAAATAGCCCTTTTATATATATATATAATTTTCTTTTTAATTTTATTAATAAAATATTAAATTTACTACTCTCCTTATTACTAGCTAGCTTTTTACTAGTAATATTAATGCCTTGCCTTATACCTCCTTACTTTATTTTCTTATAATTATCTTAGCTAAAGATAGTTATTAAGCTATTAGAAAAGGCAGTTATTATAGCTTTACCTCCTAACCTAATTATTAAAGATTTACTTAAAATTACTTAAAAGAACTATTACTTTATTTAAGAGGATTTATTAGCTTAAAAAGGTATAAAGGGCAGGAAAAGCTAAATAAAGTTATATAGGACCTTCCTTACTAAATTAAATTATTATAATTAATTAATGAGTTATATTTAATATTATAATTAATATACTATAAAAGGCATAATAAAGTTCTTTTTAATATAAGCTATATCTTTTATACTAAATTATTTCTAAAAGTATATATTTATTTACTTTAATATTATTTATAAAATACTTAATAGCTAACTAACTTATATAAAGCTTAATAAATTACCTTAATTAGCTAATTTAATAAGCTAATTCTTAATAATAAAAGTATTATTAATATATATTTTAATATAATTATTAAAAGGTATTAGCTTAAATAAAGTATTATATTAAAAGTAAAAATAAAAATTATATAAAAACTAAATATTAGGTTTATAATTAATAGTAATATATTATTTACTATCTTTAAATATAACTTTCTTTAAAAGATTTTTAATTATTTTAAAAGTAATTTAATAATTTAAATAATATAAAGTAATAGCTTTATTATTAAAAAGATATAATAACTATTTAAAGTAAAATAAAATATTATTAAAGTAAAGCTTTATAATATATTAATAATAATATATATTAGCTTTAATTTCTAAATATTATTAAATTACTTTATAATTATAATTATATTTATATATTTTATTAATTAACTAAGGTATTAATAGTTTTATTTTCTAGCTTTATATTATTAATTTAGTATTTATAATAATAAAAACCTTATAAGTTTTCTAGTTAATATTAATTATAAATAGGAAATTAAAAGGCAAGTTAGGTATACTATCTGTAATAATATGGCGGCAAATAATACTTATTTATATTATATATATATAAAGCTCGATCTATTAATGAGGCCTGTTAATATAAAGGCCTGCCATATGCGATGTTATGGGCACACGCTCAATCTTGTCGCGCGCGGCCTTATTGAGCAGGACCTGGATTATTAGCGCATAAAGGGCCCTATTTGTAAGCTCTGCAATATTGTTAAGTTTATCTGTCCGTTGCCGCAGCAGAGTGAACAGTTTAAGCAAATAGCCTAGGAGCAGGGTTATAAGGGATATTAGCTCTGTAAGGAATCTATTATTATGACCCCCGCGCCTATGTCACGTGGCCCCCACAGTTTCCACTAATTATACTAGGATTACTTCTCTCTATAATAATCCTCTTCTATTAAATTACTTAAATTATAATGCTTTAAGGATAGATTACCTTAGATTACTAATAATCCTATAAGATTTAACCTTAGGATTATACTTATTTCTTACTAAGCTATATAGCTACCTTTAGTATATAGATTATATTCCTTAATACCTTTATAAAACTTAGCTTACTAGCTATTAATAAGACTTCTTTACCTAAATATGCCTAATTGTTATAACCCTAGTAGTTCTATTATATATACCTTACATTTTCTACCAATTACTACAATCCCCGCTAAAGACAATTAGCGCTAAGACTCTATAATTAAAGCTAATCTATTATAATTAGTACTAATCTGCTTAGATTACTACTAATTCCTTAATAACCTTACTAATTACTTAAGAATACCTTTAGTATATAAATTATATTTATTAGCACTTTTATAAAATTTAGCTTACTAGCTATTAATAAGACTTTTTTACTTAAATATACCTAACCTGCTTTATTTACTATTAAGAAATATAATATTTTATAACTACTTAATATAATACCTTATAACTCTATAAATATTAAACCTAATATAGACTAGTTTACCTATTTAAAACCTATTTTATTATATATTAATAGCTTTTATTTAAAATATACTATATTAATAACTAAGTAATATTATATTATTAAGATATCTAGTAATACTAGCCTAGTACCTCCTTATACTAAAGTACTACCTAGTATTACTAAGATAATAGCTAAAGTTTAATAGCTTTATAATACTATCTATACCCTGCAGGCTTAAATAAATATATATCCTGCTATAACTGCTAATAAAGGAAGTAATAAATAAGACCTTAGAGAGGCACTTAAGCCCCCTAAGCTAGAACCTTTTAGAGGCTAAGCTGCAGATATAATCCTATTCCTAACCTAAATAAAGGCTTATTTCTGCCTCTATAAGAATAAGCTAAATACCCTTATAAAGAAACTCCTATATACTATAAGCTTAATTTAAGAAAATATAAAGGATTAGCTTAAACCTATTTTAAGAGACTTCCTTAAGAATAAAGAAAAAGCATAAGACTAAGATACCTAGAATATCTTTAGAAACTAGGATAATTTTAAATAAGCTCTTAAAAACAATTTTAAAATAATTAAGAAAGAATAATAAGCCGCAGCAGAACTACTTATACTTAAGTAATATAAGTTTTATATAGCCTACTCTGCCAAATTTAGACAGCTTGCATTTAAGACTAAGTAGGATAATAAAGCCTTAATAGAAATCTATTATAAAGAACTAAAGGAAAAAGTTAAGGATAAATTATACCTAGCTAATAAACCTAAAGAAGGTCTAACTATATATATTATTATAGTAATTAAAATTAATAAATAATAATATAAATACAGAAAAGAGAGAGCTAACTATAAATAAGGTAATAACTTTAATTTATATTACCTTAACTAGTAATAAAATAATAATAACTAAGGTAACTCTTAAAACTAAGAATAGCAATAAGGTAACTAGTAAAATAATACCTTATATAAAATATAATTAGGACTTATAATACTTAAAGCTATTTAGCTAAGTAATAATAATAATAATTAAAGGCAAGATATATCTAAATATAAGTACTATAACTATAACTAGTTTAAATATATAGTATAATAATACCTAAAACTTAAAAAACTAAGGGACCTAAATTAAGGTAAGTAGGCCTTAAGACTAATTAAATAATAAGACCTGCAAATAGCTAGGTAAACTAAGATATTAAGAATACTTAAAAGTAGTTATAATACTACTAGCTTAAAGAAAATAAAGAAACCAGAATAGCACCCTTACCTAAATAGTTTAATTAAGAAACTATAAGACCTATTTCCTACCTATAAGGAAGCTAATATAAAAAACCCACTAGCTAGAAATAAGGAAATTAAGAATTAGATCTAAAGGGAAAAGAATGCCTATAAGAGAGCTAATAATCTAGGATATCTTACCAAGCTAGCGCAATATAATAAAAATAAGAAAGAAAAGCTTTATAATAACCGAAACTATAGGGAATAATAAAACACTTAATAAAGGGAACTCTAGAGAATTAAAAAACTTAGAAAACTATAAGTCTTAAGAATAATAAGACAGGGAAAAGCAATTACCCCTAATACAGATAAACAAGCTTAAATATCTAAATAGATAAATAATATCCTTATAGAGATAATTATTTAATAAGATAAAATAACTATTATAATAAATATAAAAAAAGGATATATTATAAAATATAAAATGCCCAAATTTGCTAAAACTAAATTATAGAAAAAAGAAAAAGCCTTTAATAAGGAATAAGAGGTAAAGGCTAAAGTTTATACTTATTACTACTAATACTCTTAAAGCTTAGAATATAAAGAAGGAGCAGTATAAATAACTATATAATACCTT